CAGTCTACTGTGTGATTCCCACTGAAGAACTGAAATGTAAAATGCAATAGAATAGAAATAGAATAAGTCTCGAAAGTATTTAGATCGCTCATTGAAGCGTTAATGAGTCCCTCCTACAAAGATCATTATTCAATGAAGTGAACCGATAACGGTAAATTCGACTCACACTACGACTTAGTGATTTTACCTGTCCAGTGAATATTGTTCTCGACATTCTGTATCGTGCCTCAAGTCACCGCATCCCACTGCGTGTTGTATCCCTTAAGTAATAGGCTGAAAATTCTACTTACTGCCTTCTTTGTCTCTAAATGATATTGTTCATTTATTATTACTATTCCCAATGTATATTTTCTTGTGCTTCTACGGCTTGACTGTTCAATTATCATCGTTTTGTCCCTATTTCAAGCAGTGGAAAATATCAACTTTTCATGTTAGATGACGCAACATCCCTATGGGAATGCCAGTTAAATATGCCACAGATTGCCGTACGAAATATCAAGAAACACCTCAGTAATGTTCAGTGTCGCCTCATTTCGTATTATTGGGTGATTCTGCTGTTACTTTTCAATTTAAACCGAGTAAGATAGCCACCTTCGCCCACAAACTTTCTTAAGTGATATAAAACCTTATCAATGCTTTTTGAATCTTCGCATCGGCCTCCAGTTCGATACCCATGGCTTTTATCGATTTTAATTGTGAACAAAAAAGGCGCTCATTCGCTGAAGTGTCAGACGTTACATTCTGAGAGTTATCGTCTTAGAATCTAATCCTAAATAAAACGACGAATCGGATAGCTTTTAGTGTATAACTGGGTATATCAGACGTTGCGCTAACAAATAAAGTCTTTTTAAGATCAAATTTGAACTATCCGACAGTTTTCCTGGTGTCACAAGACCAGGCTTCAGGCTTGTTTGATTTATCAAAGGTAAAATGCGATTTTCAGACCCTTTCTAACAAAGTGACTGATACAAAAGTGTGTTACCAGGTGTCTTTTGATAGGGAAAAACTGAATGAGGAAACAGTCCACCTTCACCACTTTCAGGGACGCACCCATTTCGTCTATGCAAGCCAAACGATCTTGATGAAATGTCAACTTATAATCTACTTTGCAACGTGAATGTGGATGGGACCAGTGATCACTTTCCTATCCTCATTTCTTCTAAATTACTATGATAGCACTGCTGTTGAGGGAAAGCCGTACACTTTTTAAATGTGTCTACTTAATTGTGTGCACCTTGTTGTTGCCCAATCGATCACTTTGTTTGGGAACGTTTTATGAGCCACATGTGTCACACATGCTACTAGAACAGAAAATTTACTGCCACGGTATAACATAAAAAGCTGCATGGTTTCTTTGCAAAAAACGCAATATGATGTTATAAAGGATGGACAAAGCTGGTAAATGTGTATGCGAAAACAAAGTCAAAGTCAAAAATCGTTTTATTCATCTTAATGGATGGATTCTCAGCTTCTTGCACTGTGGAAACATTTATTGTTGCATACGGTCACAAAAAAGTGAGAGAAAAACAGCACCGTAAATTCAAAGGAATGTGGAATAAAAGTTTGAAAATGAATATCAATTGGGTAGGAAATTCTATTTTTTTCTCTCACGGAAGCCTTCTGAGCCAGAAATCTCGAAAGATAGGGGATGGAAGACAAACGATAGGCAGTGGTACGAGCATACACCAGTTTTAGTTACGGAAGTGGATACGCATTTTTTAATTTCTGTGTAACGGGTGAGTGTTGCCTGATAGAATATTGTTGCAGAAGTTTTCGCAATAGGTAAAATGTTTGTCGGCGATAAAGTTAAGCAAGTGCAAATAGGGAGTATGGCTTGTGCGAGAAATAATCTTAAAAGATCTGCTTAGAATTGTGTAATCTTTAGCAAATAATAGAGAAGATGAGTAACAGCACAAGAATATACAAATGGGGTGAATAAATACAGTGGAACTTTCAAAGAACGCAAGCGGGAAATAAAGAAATACAATTGTCAAATCTTTTCAAAAGCAGAATTTAAATGTGAATTCCAGGTGAGATCTTGGCAGATAGTGACACCAAAGTAATGTAGAGAACTTAATGGGGGAACAGGCCGGTTGTTAAAATAGAGTGCAGAAAAATTTCTTTCAAAAGATTGTAGCTGTTTTTCTTTGGCGAGCGAAAAGGTGACCGCTACATTTAGATGCATTGAGAGATAAATTGGAAGACGAAGACCATAAGTTTAAGGCACATAAACTGGTTTGAAGATGTGCGAAGCGGAAATCACCTTGGAATTTGGAACCTATTGTGACATCATCAGCATACTTAATTGAAAGAGTATCTGAGTCAGTGGGTGGGTCTTGGATACACCAATAGAAGAGAAAAGAGGACAGAATTTCCCCCTGGAGCACCCTGAATTGACCGGTAGGGAGTTATGGGTTTTTCCAAGAAACTTCGTGAAGTGTGTTCTACCAGCAAAGTATTCTTGGAGTAGAGAGAGAGAGTGAGTAGCATGGGATAATCAAGCACCTTGGAGTAGAGAAAAAAAATCTCCTCGTGTCAACACAGTTAAGAGCACTACTATCGTCGAGGAAACACACGAAATGCTGTGCCGTGCATGTCTAAGGATCGCAAAACTGAGTTTACCAAATGCGCAATGGCGTCTGAGGAAGAACGTTATTTGCGATAAGCGAATTGATTGTTATCTAGCTGCCCAATGTTGGTAATAATGTTACTAACCATAAACTTTTCGAAAATTTTAGTATAACAGAAGTACAGGCGATTGGTCGCAATTTCCCAGCTTCCCAGCTTTTTGGGGGGTTGGTGTGATGCGCACAGGTCCCAAGCAGTCAACAATTTTTTGTTCCTCGAAGCAGCGGTTGAAAATACCGGCAAGTGGCTCCACCAGATAACACGCACATTCCCTGGGGAGGACTGGACATAGTCCGTCGGGACCGGAAGCTTTTGATATTTTCAGGCACTTCAGCTGTGCCCGCATCTGATTGGAATTGGAATGTGAAACTTCATGATGATCAACTGATTGGAAATAAGGATACGATACTTTAGTTCGAGTAGACGTGGAAACATGCAGTTGAGTTCATTTGCTGTGGGTTCAGGCCCGCGTAGTCTGACTTTTGTTCCACAGAGTTTTTTCATAGCGCTCCAGATTTGCTTGCAATTACGGTCACCAAGTAGGGCTTCAGTGTAGAGTTTGTCAAGATTTTGGATCTGTCTTGATCAGCTCTCACGTTTGTTCCACCAAAGATCGGTCACGATTTGGTTCTCCTGAGGGTCTTTAAAGTGGGGGAAGAAAATCTGCCGGGACTTATATACATAGGGGTTATGGGGCAGTAGAGGTCAAAGAAGAAGTTCAAATAGCTCGTTAGGTGTTTACACTCGACCGAGGCACTTGGATCAAAGGACTGATGAAAAGTTGTACCAGAGACCATTTCTCTCAGTGATGCCAAGTGGGCCGGGTCGCATAGCCTATGAAAAATCTTCCGGCTAGATGTACGCGTCAGTGTGCTATGATGTTTCTTTGAATAGACTTTTGGTAAAACGTTTATGATACAATGATCGGAGTTTGTCAGAGGGGCTCCTCTTCGCACGGCAAACAGGTCAGGATCGTTCGAAACCATAAGCTTAAGCGTTTCCTCTTGTGGGGAAATTTAAAAAAGTGAAGAGATAGAGAAAGAAGTCAAGAAATTAACATTGGCATGATTAAAATAACCACTAACAATAAAGAGAGAGCGTTCCGTGTAGTTAGAAAGTTCGAATATAAATAAATCAGCGAACGTCTGTACATCAGAAGTTGTACTGGAGGGTGCAATGTAAATGTTTCATGCTACAATGGAGCGATATTTACTTAGGAAACGGGGTTTACATTCAACCGAAGTATATGAGATATATTCTACGTTGTAAGTGAAGATAATCTTTGTAGACTTACACCGAGACGATTTTGTGTAGGTTATTAGACCACCGCGTCGATTTCGTAGTAGTCTCTATCTATTTCGTAGTCTCTATCCAACCGATGCACATCAAAGAAATCCAGCTCAATCAGAGAGTCGTTGATGTCAGGATGCAATCACGTTTCTCGCAGCATAACTATCCCCAATGCACGGTACTTTTTCATCCTTATCAGTTTCGTGAAGTCGCTCAGTTTTCTAAATGGTGATCGTACGTTTAATGAGCACATAGCAGGGATAGACATTTTCTGGGGTTTTGTATTACGTGAAGTCACTTTTCAGCCTGCTCGGTTTTTTCTGAGTAAGTCTGATCTAGACTGTCTGCATCTTTTATATCTATTTTTAACTTGACGATCGAACCGATAGAGAATGCCACTCTTGAGCGATAACACAATGTTGCAAATTCTTTAAAGATTCCGGGGCGTACGTAATCATGAAAACGATGAAAGTAAACCTGATTCAAACGATTAAATCCAATATGTGATGTAACCGTTGATAAATTATCCATTGGAATATAAAATGTGACACGGCCGAAAATTTAAAGGCCCTGCCGTTCGTTGTTTTTTTGTTCTGCCTGCAGTTTAGAATGAGGTTTTAATAAATTGTGCGACGAACAGCAACCAGATGGTCTGAATCGCACACTCGTGAGGGAATGCCGTTCAAATAACCACGCAAGCGACCTAATAACTGGCGAGTCACAAAACGGTAGGACGGGTGTGCTTATCATCCGGACGACAGCGCAGCTGGGTGGCGATGACCAAACACCATATGGCCACATGATTAGCGATTCGGGAAGAGACGGAGGAGAAAAAGTGAAAGTAAACCACTGAATAAACAACTCTGTTCGTCCAATGGGCATTAAATCACCTGAACGAAACACATGCTTAACAAAGGCTTCTGTATTCATGCTTCTTGGGCACTATATTCATGATACGGCCGGATCTCCATTCTGTTCCAATGGATTGTTTTTATCACTATACACTGACAAATATCACTTTGTATGTTATGCAATCCGGACCAAGTCACTAATATACACGTCAATTAAAAATGAGACAAACATCAATTTAAAAATCCACCCAGTCCCACTACGGATAGGATGAAGATGAATAAATACCAGGAGGGGATGGTGGGATAGGCTCGATTCAATTCAACAACGATGAGTTTCGAAGAAGGAGCTGATTTATACCAGGGAAGGTTTGTTTCATCTTTGTCACTTTTAATTATGATCATCATATCACGTGGCATCATAAGTGCTGGCCATTAAGTGGGAGTGTGAAACTTCACAGGTCAAATTGACTTACGGATTAAATCAGGAAAGGCTACTGACAAAGACAAGCGAACGTTGGGTTGTCGAACCATGGGGATCAAACGACCCGTGAAAGGATGCAAAACCGAAATGGCCAACAGTTCGGGCCAGGGAGAAGCAGCCATTGTGGAAACGATATTTAGTTTTCGTGAGTCATTCTCCATCTCATTCGAATCTCCATGAAACAGTAACAGTTTTCTTGATGCATTCACTCCACGCTCACATTCTGACTTTGAAAATAAGAGGAAAGTAATATTATGCAAACTAAAACGCATGGTAATGGTAAACATTAAACAGTACAACAGAAGAAAAAGCTAGCTAGACATTATCCCTGAATAATAGAATGATTAGGTGGATTTGTTTTGTGAAGGTGAATTATAACGAGCAATGCTGAGGTTAGGAGCAGAATTTTAGGTAATCGCGGTTGCCCACTGGAGCAAGTGGTGGACCTCCAAAGATTACATTGGTTGGGACACGCATGTCACCAGATAGGTTACCACGGCGAGCGATGTTCGCCGAAGCAGACACCGAGTGGGAAAAGGGCCAAAGGTGGTCAAGCTAAGACCTATCACGAGAGTATGAAACCCTAAACAGGAGACTAGGTCAGAGGCTCCGTTAGGCTACCTGGATGAAGACCTCAAGATGATGGTAACCGATGGTTAGAGACATTGAGTGATATGGCTGTGTCGGAAACAGTGATTCTGAATTATAAATGTTTCCAAGTTGGACGGAACACCAACTGTATCAATGAAAACGGTAGTTCGACCAATTTTGAAGATCTTTTAGAGAAATCTTCCCAAGCTAGTTTCGTATGCATACAGACTGAGAGAACTAGCGGCCTTTCAAAAACCTGATTATGAAGGTGGTAACCGCTTTTTATTTTTTCCATTGATTATACGTTTCTCCATTATTTCTCCCTGCACCAAGAAGGCCGTTGTAGCAAGTATTTCGACGCTCGTTTTCCGCTGCCCACCGTCATTTGATGAACAGAAGAAAGGCAAATCCCAGTAACGAGGTAACCGGCAATTGAAATTCTCGTGTCGTAAATGTACTAGGTCACTACCAGACTGGATTGTTGCAGGTAGCAGCTACGTCCGGCTAAACAGAACGAAGCATGTGATGTGAAACCGACAAGTTACGGGTACAGGAAAGACTCCGGATCGATGGTTAAACAGTTCAACGGTCTGTTCGCATCTCCGCTCAGAACAAGATCCATTCCCTTAATCGCTCTTGTTTATTTTTCAATACTGTGAGAACAGGCCAACCGCTTGTTCATGAGCGCACAAAACATACTACTCACTAAGGTGAGCAGTATGTCCTCACACTGAGACTCGGATCGGCTGCTTACTTTGCACGAGCCTCTAAGTCTCATTGCGCACAGCCTACTGTCGACTGAGAAACAGTCCAGTAGCCAGGCTTCCTCTCCCTCACTGAGAGCCACACCAACGCCAGCAAGGCCAGAAGCCGCAGCCTCAGGGTCCCCAGAGAGGCGTAAGTGAAACTTCACGGATGGGTTTGACGAGGACGTCAATCGGATAATGGAGCTGGAGTCTTGAATGCGAGTCTCCTGGATACAACACACATCGATGGCTAGGATCTCGAGGATACAAGCTAAACCGGCCTGTTGTCCTGTACGCATCAGAGTGCGCACATTAAATGTGGCTAGTTTAAAAGGACATCGAGGGCGACGAAGGGCTTCAGCTGGTGGAGGAATCAGTGAGACTTGGACGGTAGTCGAGGCAGGACGCGAGAGAAAAGGGACGGATTTTCCATCGGAAGCACAACTGGTAGTACGATTGTCTGGAGATGTTGGTAATAAGGGTAATCTTTGAGGGGGGGGGTGAATGTGGGTTGGAAGAAAAGCTGGAAAAAAGAAAAGTGTGTACGGTGTGAGGCGTTTTTTCATGCGCGAAAACTGGAAGAGCGAGTTATTGATTAAGTTGAAGTTCACTGTTTGTATTGTGGGCTGTTGTACTGCTCGGTCACCCAGTCCAGAGTAGGCCTTGTCGGAGGATGCACTCTAGCCTTTACGCAACCAAGCGCGAGCTACAAGGCAGAAGTATTGTTCCAGATAAGCCGAGAACCGGTCGGTTGTTCCATTCATCTTCTCTGGAAGACCCTGTCGGGTTATTGGAATTCAACAAGGGTTCAATGGTCGTACTCACTGGCGGGCGACACTCACCACGTCACAGCGCTGTCATAAAATACATGTGGTGTTTTGTGTGGAGAACCCTTGTCAAGTGGTAAACCCACCACATGGCCGCTTATTCAGTGAGAATAAACCCACCTTATTCACAGTTAACCGCCAGTTAACAGCTGTTCCCCTATCCGCGACCTGGGGATGCGCTCGGCAGCATACAGCTTTGCTTTCCCGAGTGGGGCTTGAAGTGACTAACCACACAAGATAAGCGTGGCATACAACCCGGACGACAGCAAAGCTGCTGACCACCAAAGCTGAGCTACCTTCCTAATCAACGATGAATCCAATTCGTGCTTCCTGGTGTGAACCGTGGAGTGTTGTTGTATCTTTCGGATATGAATAGCTTAAATGTTTTTTCATTGGGTTCAAATCTGGGCTGCACGCAGTCCACGGGATTGTTTTGATACCGCGAACTAAAAGTCATCCTAGTGTTAGATACTACGGTGATATCATGTTGGAAAATTGATTCACGGTGAACATTCGATGAGATTGCTGGTATACAAATGTACACATCAGAGTCTTGCATCCCCTGTAGTATAGCGGGTTCAGTTGTGTCGCAGCTTGATAAGGCCCCTGATACCATGACGGAGTTTTGATCGTTAGTCCTTTTACTGAAGTACCGTTCTTGCTTCCACAGATCATTCCAGTAGTAGTTATATTATTAATATATTTCACACTTATCGGAGGACAGACTGTGCTCCAAGCAAGTCATGATCCAATAATCTTTATAAAAGAGAAAAATGTTCCATGATTGGCTTGTGGGCTGAATACTGCCAGATTGTCCAGGCCAAGTTAGTCCAGTAGTAGTTCCATGCGTCGAGTCCATTTAAATTGAATGTTTTGTCGATAAGGTAGACGAAATTCCAATTTTCTCAATGAACATGAGTTAAAATCCAAAATAAACGGTTTTCTCTTTATAGAGTTAATAGAGCAATATATCTTCTCGTTCTCTTGTATCTCATTCAAGGGACCGTTTTGAGTGTTCGTTCTATTGATCGCACCGAAAAATCCAACTCAAGTACCGTTTTCATCACCGATGAATGAATGGCTCACAGAATTTGAGGCACCCATAGCATTCCCTATTTATCTTTCATTGAGAGCTTTTTCTGGCTTTCAGTTCAAATGTCGTGCCACGGTGGACCTGAACCTATTAGACCGTATAACTAAACGTGTCACATGACCGTAGTTTACACCGGTCTGCTAACTACTGACTCACCACGGTTCATCATAGTATACTGAGACACAGAGAAGTGAACTTCGCTGATAGCCGCCAAGCTCGTAATGTACACAAAGTAAGCGAGGAGGTATAAGATGGATAGGGTTTGAGCATAATTGAAGAAAGGCAAAGAAAGTGAACCTCTAATGGTCAACACACAGAGTGCACAACCGTACTGTGCATACCGTTTCAAGCATTCTGACCTGGTGAGAAATGACAATAAGAACGTCATTGCTGTCGGTTAGTTGCCTTATCCTTCAGTGTCTCCAGCCGAGTTACTGAGTCATTTGGACCCCAACCTGGAAGACAGGAGACGCCTATTCTACCTAATCGTTCTGTACATTTCTTCGTGCCACGTCATCCGTTGATCTCCACGTGGTTTCCACTAACCTAGAGCAGCAAAAAAAGAATAAGGGGCGATGCGATAGACAGTAGCTGGGCATGCGCAGTGGTTGTCCTAACCAACGACTTACTTAAGAGCTGCTTTCACGCTTGTTCCATTCAACCGACATCAAACATGGGCAGTCGAAGACTATTAAACGATGAGTATCTTCCACGCGTAAATTTAGTGTTTTGCAGCGACAAAGCAGAACTGACTGCACACTGGCACGGTATACATGACCTTACAGTTTCAACAAAACATCACGTAAGCACCTAAGGTGCTTCAACCCTGCGTACGCAGCAGACAAACGATACCGTCAGCGTACTATAAATCGCACAGCTTTTCTCCAAATACCCATTCAATGACAACATTTTGGAGACCAATGGGAGCGTTCTCCACTATTTCTTCTGCTGGAGAACGCACCAAATAGTCTTCACCTCAGTTGCCAGTTGTTTATCGCACCCGCTTTCAAATCGGGTCGGGAGTGTGAAGTTCATGGAAGGTGCAATACCTCGGTTTTGTTTTGTTTTCAAAACATTTTCTAGTAAATAAAAGATAAATTCGTATTTCGGCTTCTCAATTGTTTGCCGTCTAGATTCCCAAAAATGGTGATCATACATGTGAGAGCAGAGATAATCCAAAGTCTAGTGAGGGGTGCAATACTTTTGTCGTGTGGCGTGTATACTTGTCTCAATAGTCTCACAGATGACACTGCAAACAGAAGAGAGTGGCGAACGAGCTCGTTTTCAGTGATCTGTAATCACGCCAATAGATCGCAATATATATCATTATTCAAGAATAAAATTTTCTGGGGGAAAAATCACATTACCGATTGTTATGCTCGAGTTCATCAGGAGGCCGGAAATCAGATTTACAATGATCACATAGATGTTAGCTCATTCATTCGATCATCGAGATTACTCGTGATACGGTGTGTTTGTGAGGTGGTGAGTCAGGGGAAATTAAGCACTTACATAAATTGTTTTCATGTATACAAAGGGGTCATACAGAGGAATTCCCACCGATTCTGCTGGGGATAGCATTTTACAGAGAGAACCTAACTGGAAAATCGACCACAAACCTAACACAGAGTGAGTGACTTAATCGTCTCTGTGTTAAACCACGCAGAGTGGTGTTCACAAATCCGCCTGACCGTGCGGTTCATCTACGTTGTTCAGCATCAATAAATAATTGATCTTACACAGAATGAGACCACAGAGTCGGGAACTTCATCGGACGATCACAAACACACAACTGGTCTGGACGTGAACAACACATCAGGCAATGAGTATCTCATCAATTGCATCGGATAATCGCTGTATGATTTCAGTTGAAGTGTCCCCCCCCCCTTGAACACCGGGGAAATTCTAAATTACTTCTTGTTGACCTCGGTGGTTCGTAGCGTTCTCCGTGCGCTGAATCATTATGTTAAATAAACGTCCCAAAGTTCCGTTACGCGCAAAGATCGACCTTTCAAGAACGAAGCTCGTTTTCCAGCGTGTCCTCAATGCAGATCTTCCTTGTCCTATCCTCTAGGCAACCAACCAGGCTCTTTTTTTAAATTAAACGGTGTAAAGTTTTCGAAGTGGATGTATTGGTCTTTCCAAGTTACCTTTCTATACACAGAACGCCACAACTAACCATTTGATCGAAGAGTGGTGCAGAAATACAAAAACAGCAAGTTGTTGTTTCTAAATCAGACGTTACGTTTTGATGGACAGTACTAAAACTACCGAATAGTTCGGTAGGGTTAAATGTTACTTTTATCACACACACGATATTATCTACGTACCATGTGTTTATGACGGACGATTGTAATTGAGTGTTTTTGGGTTTCAACACGAATAAGTCCGCGAAAGCAGTTCTAGCAGAGACCCCATGGCTACACTATCCTTTGTTCGATAGATCTCATTGTTAAACTTGAAGTGAACATCAAGATATAGAGCAGCCGAACAAATAAACGCCTAGCCCCCCTCATATAACTGCAAAAGTATTCAATAGTTTCGCTGATGGGAACATTTGTGAACAACAAACTAACGTGCAGCATTGTTCGATCGAACAAGTTTAAGTTGCGAATTTTGCTCACAAATGTAAACGTTTCTTCGCTCCTATGTTCTGTGTTTTGTTCTAATAATTTAATCATCTGTTTCACCAAACTAGTTCATACACCTTACGGATACGGCCAATTATCCAAGATGCCCAGTTTGTCTTTATAATTGCTGGTGAGAATCATGGTGGTTGACTAGAAAAGTGAAAGCTGAAGTCCATTAAGGGGCTTCGCCGAGGATAAGTGGCATTATGAGCTTCTTAAACCAATTGTGCTTGATTTCAAATCAGGGTTTTAAACGCCTCCCCTGAACAGACGAAAATTGGTCAAGTAACTCGGTGGAATGCACAGGGCATTCACGTTTATCCGTTTTTATACCAATATTTGTCCACCTTATAAATTCGCAAATCGATGAATATTCATCTCCTGGCTACAGAAAATGTTCGGAATTATCTTAGTCGTTCTCATGTTACATTACGTACATCGAAGACAATGTTAACTGGTTGAACAACTGCACATCGGTACGAGATGCATCTGCACCTTGATGAGATCAGCGCAGACCACTTTTTAAGATAGATACCAACTCTGTTTTTACAGTGCAGGCGATTAATATCGCATGAACTGATCTACCGCTTCTTTTCCAGTCTGTCGCGTTCAAGGGAAAGAACGGAATCAACAACATTGTGTATGCACATAAGCAGACAAAATGTTACACTACTCGTAAGTAGTATAAAACAAAACCATACAAATGAACACCCCAAAAAATGGAAATTGGATAGGGAGGACTACAAAGCACGATTTTGATGCTGACGTATCGATTAAAAATGTGCTACTAGAAAAGAATAATATTAGTGAACGGAAAACACACGAGATAAACCATGAATAAGAGACAAACGTGCTCGGACAATATAGGAAACGATAAGTTTTGAACAGAATCTACTGTTGGAATAACAACGAAAACCAACTTAAACTAACCTTACGATAAGAATCGGTGTAATACACACTGTCCATGGTTACGTCGATATGACTGACCAAGTCTGCAACAACAAGATGCGGCTCTTTGGTGAAAACTGTTAGGCGTTCTTCTGGCCGCGGAGGAGCACGGGTTTGTTCTTGGTTGTTCAGGTCACTGGATACCGAATTCGTGCCACAGACGACCAAGTCAAATTCAATTTGGGTACCTTCCAAGTTACCCAGCCAACCGCGTTGCATTTGCACAACATCACGCCACTGATTACCCTCGATATCTTTCAAGCCATTCACCAGTGACTGAGACCGTAGTTGATACAATGAAGAGAGAGACATAGAAGAAAATATGAAATCGATGTAGAACACCGTCAGATGAAATTGAAAATAATACGTCTAACATTTTCATCCTCGAAATCAGCATATAAGCGGTTCAGGGTGTCTAACTTGGTGTCGCACAAGAAAGAAAGCACAAGGCTGCTATAATTTTAGGTACGAAATGATCATCAGTACTTATTAATAAGGTTATTAATTAAAATTATCATAAGATGGTCATAATTTCATTTTCTTCTTGCCGTCGCTAATCAATCTTTATTGAAAAGTAATAAAATACTATGAATAGAATTCAAAATGTATGAAAACGGAAATACTGAGTAAATGAAGGTGCAAATTTATATGAACGGCGCCAACTGTTGCGTTCGAGAATAAATCAGGCAAACAACGGTATTAATTTCAATAAAATCTGGAATAAGCCAGTTAAACACTGTCCAGGAACAACCAATGTGCATGCATTTTGAAAAATGAACTCTGAAGCGAATACCTGAACATTATCTGTATCTATTGATGGGACTTCATCTTTTATAAAAATCGTTGTGCTGTGATTTGTTTGGAACACAGTCTAGCCTCAGAGGTGTGATATATATACTCATAATAAGTAGTATGTGAATGACTGGACAAAATTTCCCTGGAAGCACACGATCGGTTTGGCGGTTCTTGCCGCTAGTCAGGCACGCAAATCCGGTAATCGTTCTCCAATTCATACATACATATATATATATATATGTCCCTGGGGCTGCATCGAATTTGTAACAGTTTACCAAGACACTACTGATGCTGTACAACAGTGAGTAAGACTATGATAAAATTTTGTATTCGGACAAATAGTGAACTTCCTACAGGCTTTGCATAGCTCTGCCAGCCAGCCAACCCGGTGCCTCATGGCTATGATCACCTAATTTCTACAAACAACTGAAATCGGCGGCATGAATATAGTGAACATTTATTAAGAATGTCCGTGGTTTAGCTCCTTACTCCAGAAAAAAGTGAAAACTGTTGAAAATAAATACAACAAAAAACCGAATTACTCAACTCGTTGATTTCCCCACCTGCATCTCCGACCGTGCTGGTAACCACGCTCATACCCTCGATCTTGTCGTCAATACCAATTCACGGTTATTTTCAAATGTTGCAGCAATTCCTCTCCTGGGCTCATCGGACCATTGTCTTATTTTGCTCTCTACCCAAATTATGTTCCACTGTTCCTACCAATTAGAGACTCACATTCTGGCGATACGGTTATGCTGATTGGTGTAGATTTTGTAACCTTCTGGCTTCCTATCCTTAGAATAAATGTTGCTTCTCCGCCGATGTCTCCCTTTCGGCTTCGAAGTTTTCCAAAGTTCTTTTGCAAGGTATTTATTCCTCATTTCACTAAACCCGGTAAGCCTCTTTATCCACAATGATTTACCCACGCATGTTGTCGCGCTGTTCAAAGAAGGAAATCAGCGTTCCACCGCTGGCTTCAGTCACCGTCCCCCAGCTCCTGCCGATGGTTTCCGTTAGTGCGCAACAACTGTACAACCACCATACGGAAGGCTAAGGAGCACTTTGTTGGGCGCAAAGCAACACATTTAGCAACCGCTCCTTCTGGAATCCGTAATTTCTGGTCACTCGCCAAGGCAGTCTCCCGTAACTTCTGTTCCACTAACTCCCACCCATTGTTAACCCATCTGGTGACTTAGTGTCCAACCCAATTGAAAAAGCTGAAGTGTTTGCCTTCCATTTTGCTTTCAGTTTTACCCTACTCGAATCACCGACCCAACCCTCTACATACCCTACGGCGAACCATCTTTCCACACCACTTATCTCCATTAGAAAGATACGACAGATCCTTTTATAGCTCGACCCACACAAGCCACTTGGGCCTGACGGGATTCCTCCCATTGTCCTCAAAATATGTGCCCCAGAGCAGGCTTGCCTCCGACACCGCTTATTCTCTCTATCCCTCGATTCTGTGATATTCCCATTCTCAAGGAAAATATCAGAAATATTTCTTATCCCCAAGCGCGACGACTACTCAGATCCAAACAACTACCGCCCCATTTTTCTTACATCAATTATTTCGAAGGATATGGAATCAGTTGTTGCTGATCAACTCCGCCACCATCTGGAGCAGAACAAGATGCTTAGCGATCGTCAGTAGAGTTTCCCATTCCATTGATCTACCGGTGATCTTCTGGCGCTCATTTCACATAAGTGGTCAGTGGCACGGAGAAACCCCTGCACTTGAATACTACAGTCATATGTGGGGTGGAGCTTCGTCCTCCTCTCTCTTCTTGATCGGCTTAAATGTAAGACCATTCGTCCCTAACATCCAATTTGCAGTCACTAGATCACCGTCTGGCAGTCACTTTTTATCTTTATTCCATCGGTATTACTTTAGATTTTGCTCTGATGAACCTTCCGCTTCTGTTCCTCTCCTGATTGTTCTTATTCGTAGATCCCGCGTACCAGCGGCTAGCCACCTATTTCAAGTGACTATCCCCAGGTGCAGCATTTCTAACTTTTTCAGTCATCATTTTTTCCCAAGAACAGCACAACTGTGGAGCATTCTCCACCTTTCAGTTTTCGTTCAACGTACAACATCCTCATCTTTAAACGTGGAATCAACAAGGTGGTTCTAGCCTGAATGTTCCCCTTACGTTCCCACGTACAGCATGTCCTTGGATCACTGGGTTCACTAGGTTTACTGTATTCACTTTCGTGTAATAAAAGAGCGGTATGCTGATCTAGGCAACTTCCGAATACATTACATTATCTGCGATCTCATCTGCATTCAGCACGAAAATTACTACCCGTACGCCCATTACGTGCGTCGGGGTTGATGAAACCTCATCTCCCGCACAGCTACATGGGCCACATTTACCGCAGACTGTCACATAGTGGCATTTATTTGCCTAATGAACAGACTTATAGGTCGAAGTTTGGCTGCAAAGTCCCAGATTTTTCTTGCTCATAAAAGAAGATACAATGAGTGCGATAGAATTTACATGGGAATAGGAATCAGTGCTTGGACTACATAATGTCCAACTTCACTGTGAGCATATATCTTGCAATAGTTTTGCATCTCAACCAAACTTCCAAAAACGCTGAGTCTCCAAAAACCGATTGGTATGAGAAGATGGAGTTAACGACAGGAGACAATCTAAATGGTTGCAAAACTTACTTGTGAATAAACTGAAGAACGGAAGTACCACTGCCGCAGCGGTTTCCGTTCAACCACAGCTCCTGAACGCCATGATCTACCCTGTGAGTCAACCAATTCATCCGCCAGAACGGTTTGATCCACCGGATCCCAGTTCACAAAGGCGGAACGTCTATAAGCTAAACCAGACTCGAACAGTTTTAGAAAAATCCATTGGGTCCACTTATAGTAATCCGGATTGCACGTGCTTATCTCACGAAACCAGTTTAAATTTAGAAGCATCGTTGATTCCATTTGTTGGCGCATCTGATCGATATTCCTGGTAGATGCAGAAAAAAATTGATGATCCAAATGGCAATGCACTGCTAATTCAGGTGACTGACATAAAATGAGGGAAGGTGAAGGAAGATGGTTACATTCAATCCATAGTATTGGTATGGGGGTGTTCGACGCATGTTTGCCACGATAGAAAGAAGAACAAACAACCTATTGGCAATTTCGTAGAATTCAAAAAGTCTGTGCTGTACGCAACCTAGCTCGCCCCCGTGTGACGGATAAGAAAATGGCTGTCAGCGGTGAATAAGGTAAAATCTTTGATCGCTAAATACATCGTCGAGAACGATGAACAACGGATCGGAAGAGCAGAGCCGTATGCTACCGAGCGCGTCCCCAGGTCTCGGATTGGGGAACGGCCGTCATCTCGCAGCTAACTGTGAATAAGGTGGGCCTCGGCCCGCCGAATAAGCAGTCGCGGACGATCAGCGGCAGTGCTCGACGACGTGGTGGGTTTACCACTTGGCAGGGGTTCTCCGCACAAAACACCACAAATACCTGTGGACTGCGCTGTGACGTGGCGAGTGTGGCCAGCTCCTTGTTAAGATCCCTTGCTCGACAAGGTTTTCCAGAACAGGCGAATGAGACAACTACTGGCCACCGACTCATCTAGAATATCGCTGCTGCCTTTCAGTTCGAGCTTGGATGCGCGAAGGCTAGAGTGCATCCTCCAACAAGGCCTACTCTGGACCGGGCGACCGAGTACTATAACAGCACACAACGCCAACAATGATGAACTCAGACTTTCATGTGCATTTAGTCTGCCATTTCCACACCTACAGATAAACACTCTACAACGTACACAGACTCATTTTCCCCCCAGCCCTACCCAATCCGATCTTCATCCTCATAACTGACCTCCTCTCTCGGATTCTTCAGGCGATTGTGCAAACACTAGTTCCTCAGATGGAAACTCGGTGGTAAATAATAATAATAATACCGTCCAAGTCTCACCGATTCCTCCACCAGCTGAAGCCCTTCGTCGCCCTCGATGTCCTTTTAAACTAGCCACATTTAATGTGCGCACTCTGATGCGTACAGGACAACAGGCCGGTTTAGCTTGTATCCTCGAGATCCTAGCCATCGATGTGTGTTGTATCCAGGAGACTCGCATTCAAGACTCCAGCTCCATTATCCGATTGACGTCCTCGTCAAA